ACAACCTATGATAGCTATAGCCTTGTTCTAGTAATTTTGACGGAAATGTGTTTTCCCCGACCAATTAAGTCACACACGCTATTTCATGCAATTATCATAAAATAACTGATCAAGTAAATCAGACCTACCGATCCAGACAATAAAGTGTAGAATAGCATTAGTTGTTTTAAAACTGAAAACTTAAGTATGAAATTAATAAATTTTAAAGAAATATGTTTTTGATATTCGACACAGAAAGGAGATATGAAAAAACAAATCCAATCAATCTTATAAATTAATGGCCAGTCAAATGATTTTTATAAAGGTGATCCTGCGTAAAAACTCACAACTGCAAACAAAAAAATATAAAAAATGACATTTTAAAACAAAATTGTTTTTTTTATGTTTATCATTTAAATAATAATGGTTGCTTTATTGCGGTCAAATCAACTATATCGGTCAATGTCGAACACAAGCGACACTGATTTTACAATACCGATTCAAGTTTATACACATATTTAGATAAATAAACAATACAATCAGTTCGTCACACATTATTATCTTTATTAGTTGCTAAGACCCCAATTTAGAATTGTATGAAATTGTTAAAAATAATTCCACAAGAACGCGTAAAGTGGACCAAAAAAGGTTTTGGGTGAGGTATAATAGAGTCACGATTATCGCTCGCTGACATCAAATCAAGGTCAGTTCTGTCACTTTGAAAGAGGAGGTTTCGCCATGCGCGTGCTACCTGGTCACTCGCTGTGCAGTTGCCCGCGCATCATCACACTAGCTTCCAGTTCAAGAACACATTATATATTTACAATGAAATCTTTCGGTTAAGCCTTTATTTTCCAATTTCCAAAACACAATCGTATTTATTATTAATGGTGACAAAAATTATCGTTCGTGTTTCAATCGTTTGATATGTGAAAATGATCGGTTTGTTCGCGAAACTAGTTTTGGTAGCTCCGTGTGAATTCGTGTAGCTGTTATGGCTCTGTTTAAAAAAATGTTGCGAAGGCAGTATTCCCATGAGTCAGGCAAAACGGAACTTGTCAGAGCTCAGGAGGAGTACTTGGACAGAAGGTACGTAATGAATACACGTTGATTTGCATATCCGCACTAAAACAAAAAATATATACCATTGGAAATATTAATTAGTGGAAATTTTTTAATGTTACAAATGTCAACTGCGGTTTTACGTATTAATATTGATATCGGCTCGTAATTTAGGGCTTACAAAAACATAATAGTTATGTCGATTAAAATAACTGATAAATCGTAGAAAAAGTTCGGATATAATTTGGATTCTTAATAGTCAATTGTAACATTCACTTCGCCATAACAAATTTTGTGTGAACATATTTTGAATCTCTATTGCAGCTTTCAAACTTTCACTATTGTCTTGCTCTAGTGCCTTACTGGTCACTCTGCTTTCAAATTTACATGTTAACAAGTATTTCCTTTAAAAAAAAAAAAAAAACGTGAATTGAAATCTCAAGACCAAAGTCTACGATCTTCCACTAATTGACTCGGTGGCGCAGTTGTTAGCGGCTCTGACTGTTGCGCCAAGGGTCGTGGGATCGATTCCCACTTCGGACAAACATTGGTGTGATGAACAATTTTGTTTGCTCTTCGTCTGGGTGTTTATTATCTATATATGTACATATTTAAACCTATAGATGGTAAATATGTATGTCAATCTCTGGTACCCACAACACAGGGAATCCTAATTTGAGGCCGGATGACAGTGCGCTATTTGGTCCGAGTTATTTATTATAGTTATCTTAGTTCACTCGAAACAAGCAACGTTTTACTACTTTTGATACCTTTGTTTCATGTATACTCATTAACGAGGTCGGAGAGGTTAATGCCAAAGATCGAAGCGCGCATAATTTGAACGTTATACAGTCTGTTTTAACGCTAATAGTGCAAAAAAAAGCGTTTGTTTTCAATAAAATTTATAACTACCGTGTTTTGTTAACTGCGTCCTAAATAATAAGTGTCATATCCTAAATATTAAAAAAAAAAAACAACAAATTCCTTTCCCCGTTAACATCAATTTCGTACTAACTTTACCAACTAAAAATATAGTAGCTATGGTAATTGACTTTTTCGCGGGCGCTGATATTACTAGATGACTAACTCACAAGTTCAATGCAAAAACTGTAAAACTAAATAACTAATATCGAATTCGGTCCATGCCTTGAAGTAAATGTGTCTAGTATAATTACGTTAATACCTCCACTACCTGACGTTGGCAATGTTACACTTTAATATAATTATGATGCAAGTAACAAAAGTCATGGAAAAAAAATATTTTAGTCTGACCCGTGCACGCAACCATCGCTTGTCCGATACTATGTATAAAGTAATGACTTATGTAGATACCTAGCTAACATTCACGTCATCTCGGATCCTCCCGATCCACTAACGGTGCTTCTTGGTACTTCAAGCACCGGGCATCGTTCTCGCCGAACCCGTCGCTTGCGACGAAGGGCTCGACGAGTAAATTAACTCTCAGACACAGCTCACTGAGTTTCTCGCCGGATCTTCTCAGTGGGTCGCGCTTCCGATCCGGTGGTAGATTCTGCGAAGCACGACTCTTGCTAGGGTTCGTGTTAGCATCGTCGTCAGGTTTGAGCCCCGTGAGCTCACCTACTAGTTACGGTTACGCTGGAATAGCCTCTCTAGGCTACTAGCTTAGGAAAAAAAAAACCAACATTAAGCACTCGTGAACACACTTCAAGATACGCACGTTAATGTTATCACTATAAGTATTTAGGTCTCGCATTAAGAACATATACTAATGAATATAATAATGACTAGGAGATGTATGGAAATGGTAGTGCAAGGTAGAGGGGGAAGAGGTCGACTGAAGAAGACATGGATGGAGTGTGTGAATGACGATATGAGAGAGAGAGACGAGTTAGTGTTGAGATGACGGCTGATAGAAGAGAATGGAAGAGAAAAATTATCTGTGTCGACCCCACTTAGGGAGATAAGGTGGAGAAAAAGAAGAAGATTAAGAACATATACACATACGTATTGTTTTAGATTATATAGCGACCCGCCCTCGCTTCGCTTCGGAAACATTAAAACACACATGAAATCAAAAAAAAAAGGGAAAAAAAAATTAAAAAAAAGTAGCCTATGTTCATCAGGGACAATGTCGGCTTCTAATGGAAAAAGAATTTTTCAAATCGGTCCAGTAGTTTCGGAGCCTATTCGAAACAAACAAACAAACAAATCTTTCCTCTTTATAATATTAGTATAGAAGTATAGATAATATTAGTATAGATATAGATATAGACAAGCAGAATATTCCGTTCATAAATGCGACCGCATTAAGAACACTACTATTGTTTGTTATGGAAATTAGATTGCCGTTTTTCTTTCAATTTATTTTTAAATGGCTTATTATAGGAAAAATCCTGTTATGACCAGTTCATTATCATACTCCAAATAAAAATGCACAATCCAATTTATATTGTGGTTAGATCTCACACAAATATCTTTTTAATTTTGAAGTGACGATGGAACCGGCTGTGTTTGTGCGGCGTATTTGATTGAATAATTTTAAATAGATGTAGTTAATTAACAAGCCTTCGTGAATATTGATTTGTGCGTTCAGTGTCCATTTTAGCGGTGCCTTTGCCGCAGTGAATTGAAGAACATGTTTATTTTTTTTAATTTCGCTTCGAGGATTTACGTTCAGGTAACATTTTGTGGATATCCCATTCATTACTCATTTGATTCTCCTTCGTTTGTTCTGGTTTTTCCGTATTGAAATTTTAATGTAAACTTAAGGAGAGTTGCGTTTTAGCAACTGGTGGTATGTATGACCTCTTGTGAGTCCGCACAGGTAGGTACCACCACCCTGCCTGTTTCTGCCGTGAACCAGTAATGCGTTTCGTTTTGAAGGGCGCGGCAGCCGTAGTAACTATACTGAGAACTTAGACCTCATATCTCAAGGTGGCGGCGGCATTTACGTTGTAGATGTCTATGGGCTCCGGTAACCACTTAACACCAGGTGGGCCGTGAGCTCGTCCATCCGCGTAAAAAGAAAGAGTGCTTTAAATTAAAATTAATTTCAAATACTTATTTATATATTTGCCCACTAAAATCGTGAATCGTTTGTTGTAACATGATGGTATATGGTTTACTTCAATTCAATACTGACAAATCGGAATACAAGTCTATCGGATGACTTTCTGTATACTTAGCATGTGTACTATAAAATTTAGTATTATCAGAAAAACACTAGAAATCAAGTTCGCCTATCATTTAAATTGAGTAAAGGTTCGACTAAAGTCTAGTTTGTTACTTACCCTGACTAGCTTGTTTTTAATTAGAGTATACAGGTATTCCAACCCGGTTTTAACCGTTCGTAGTAGCGGTCCTAATGTACCTACTGACGACGGATACGGAAGTTTTAGTGAAAATTAATTTCACACAAATCGGCCACCATATATACGAGTAGAACGTATCAGAAAAAATTAACGTATCAAGCGTATCTAAAGAATCTTATCCAACACCTGGGATGGATAAGACCTCAAGTTACTATTAGTTGAAGTCTTGCTTGAAATGATACATAAAAGCACATATCACATAAGTACTAGATTCTTTTTTTTATAGAAAAGTTGACGGTAGTTGGCACAATAGGCAAATGTCGACTAATAACACCGTAGTCGTCCGTGAGTGACCACGACAAATTTATATAGTAATCGAATCGTCAGAAATAATAAACGCAAGATTAAACTTCAAAAGAAGTTTTGATTATGAACTTGAAGAAGAAAAAACCTTGCATATTTCGTTAAGCCAACCATACGTTTAAACCGAAATAAATGGCAGGGCAGCCGTTGTAGCAATGTCATTGAGAATCTTGGATCTTCGAGTGAGTGGCGGCATCGACGCTGTGCGATCTGTCCATTTTAGTTAAAAAATAATTAAATTCTCTGTATGTTTTCTGAATGTAACGTAGCAATATGATTTATTTGTTTCTTATCTTGTTACAGGAGAACTAGATCCCTGAACGCGCCGTCCCCAATACAACAGTTTGGACCATGCGGCAGGATTATGAAAAATTCCGCCATGGTCATGTAAGTACGATTTTTATATTGTTCTTTTATTCTATTACTATGTATTTAGTAGTGTCTTTATTAGATGTTTAGCAATCTGGGTCCGAGAGTGGTCCTTCTTGTACTGTATAGATGTTTCCGGACTACATGTTGTTTTATATTAATAAACCACTCGACTCTGATCTGTTTCGTTGTTTATTGCGTAGCTGGGTTAAGGAGTTCACGATCCACTTTATATTAAGTCGCTACCGGAGTATAGACATCACAAGCTTCATCTGTTTTGAGATTCAGCGCGAAGTCTTAGTTGTATCTCACTCTTCAAACTGGAACCCACGTGGCATAAATACGCGGCGAGGCTGTACCTCTCAGTGTGAGCTTACTCTATGTCTTGTCACTAGTAATTACGCAAATGTATGGAAATTTTTTAGAAAAAAAAAATTGTATTAACGGGATTTGAACACCGGCTTAGTCGCATCGCTTGTCAGGAATGAGTACACCAAACGTCTTATCCTTTAGTCCACGACGTCTTCGTGTCGTAAATTGATAGATACGTTAAAAACGAGCTCATTAATGTAATCGTGACAAGAGGGAAAAAGGAAAACCGCAATTAATTTTTCCGTTTCGAATTCATGTCAATTTAGTTTCCCTAACTATGCTACATTAATGAGACAGCCACATTAATAATTTTTTTTTTTTTTTTTTTTTTTTTTATATGGGTGGACGAGCTTACAGCCCAACTGGTGTTAAGTGGTTACCGGAGCCCATGGACATCTACAACGTAAATGCGTCACCCACCTTGAGATATAAGTTCTAAGATCTCAGTATAGTTACAACGGCTGCCCCACCCTTCATACCGAAACGCATTACTGCTTCACGGCAGAAATAGGCAGGGCGGTGGTACCTACCCGCGCGGACTCACTAGAGGTCCTACCACCAGTAAAAACCTTAATTGTACCTTAATTGCATACGCGCTGAGTCTCATTCGTAAAATTACATTCCCGACGCGGTTCAAGAGTCCACAATTTGTAACCAAATCGTAATTGTTTTGTAAGTTTACACAGTTGATAACTAACTGCCTACTGATGATGCCATTTAATTTATATGTTCGCTAATTATAAGATGTAAAAATATAAAAACGCATCGTGTTCACTAGTGAACACAACACAAAATGCCCTACCTCTTTTGAATCTGCACGGGAAAGTTTCACCAAGCACTATTTCTATTATTACAAGCACTATTAGGTATTAGTGAAACATAATGCGTTTCGGTTTTAAGGATGGGGCAAGCGGTACTGATAAAACTGGTAGTAGGACCTCTTGGGAGTCCGCACGGGTAGGTACCACCACCCCGCCTATTTCCGCCGTGAAGCAGTAATGCGTTTCGGTTCGAAGGGTGGGGTAGCCGTTTAACTATACTGAGACAGTAGAACTTATATCTCGAGGTGGGTGGCGCATTTACGTTGTAGATGTCTATGGGCTCCAGTAACCACTTAACACCAGGTGGGCTGTGAGCTCGTCCATCCATCAAAAAAAAAAAAAAAAAACTGACACTTAGAACGCATGTCTCAAGGTGGGTCCAATTGACTTTTTCATGTCCATGGGCTCCGGTAACCACTTAGTACCAGGTGGGCCGTGGAGGTCATTTGCCTGTTCCTACCCAATAAATAAAAGACAGGAGTTGTTCATAAATATCAATTTTTTTCTTACTTATTTTAAATGTTACTGTTTCTATATCTCTGCTAAATGTATAGACATTTGATTGTATCTTATTCCTTAGACATGCCGATAAATGCCACGGAACTTATTGAGTAATAAATGTAAAGATGCTATGTAACTAAGAGAGGGAGGGTAGCAAACAACCATATGTTGAGACTAAAAAACTAAGACCTTAGAACTCATATCGCAAGGTAGGTGGCGGCATTTACGTTGTAGATACCTATGTAATCACTTGACACCAGGTCGGCCGTGAGTTCGTATACCAACCTAAACAAAAAAAAAATATATTTAAAAAATACTGTGAATTTAAAATTAATTTTCGTGCACAACCGCAAGATTAAAAGGTGAAATACACTCTTTCCTTCCTATGTTGTAGTTCAGTGTCGACATAAGAGATCGACTGAAAATTGAATGTCTAGACTTAAATAATAAATATAATTACATAGTTCGTAGCGAAAGTGTTTAAAAAAAAAAGTTTAGCAAACCAAAGTAATCAAACAAGGTAATACATTTTTTTTATCCCATTGATACACTAGGATAAATATTAGAGCGACATTAGAAAATTATTGTACTGTCGTCGGACATTGATGCGTGTGCAAATTTTCAAGTAAGAAACAACGAAATACCAAACAATAAAAGCGGGGTTAAAAGAAGAGTCACTCGCAATAGTTGTACGCTGTAACCCACGTTTGTTTGTAATCTATTTCCAGGCAAATCCAGGATCCGGCGTCGCAGAGGCTGACCTGGTACAAGCCTCCCCTCACCGTGCTGGTCATCAAGAAGGTTCACGACGCCCAGATACTGGCACCCTTCGTTCAGCTAGTACACTGGCTCGTTCATGTGAGTTAGCAACCTAGAATAACCCCGCGAGGCTACTAGAATAGGTAGAAAAAAATATGGGTTAGATTTTTTTTTATTGCTTAGTTGGGTGGAGTTGGGTCCGCACGGGTATGTACCACAACCCTACCTACTTTTGGCGTAAAGCAGTAATGCGTTTCGGTTTGAAGGGCGGGGCAGCCGTTGTAACTATACTGAGACCTTAGAACTCATGTCTATGGGCTCCGGTAACCACTTAACATCAGGTGGGCCGTATGCTCATCTGCCTACAAGGGCAATCAATTATTTTTATTAAAGGACAATGCCCATTTTCTATGGGCGGTTGGGCCCCTAAAAAAGTTGTCGCGTCATGATGGTTTTAACTTAATTTGATAGACAAAGAAATATCGTTTCATATTCAGAAAACTATTTTTATATTCTCAGCCAGGTTTAAGAGACATCTGTTTTTTTCTGCAGCTAAAATTAAGTTATTAATTGTTTTTTTCGAAATCAATAATTTCTACAGTATTAAATAAGTTAATTGTGGTTAATGTTTCTAGAAATAAGCCCTTAATAACATTTTATTTTTATTATATCCTCAAACTAATAATAAAATGAAATGAAAATCCGGAAGCTGACAACGATATTGTTGTTGTTGTTTTTAAATTCGCCAATAAGCAGGCAAAGAGCGTAGCCTATACAGCCTAGTCTGTCGTAGTTATATTTTTTTATGTCAATAAAACGCCGGTGTATCTCTTTTTATTGCTTTTTGGGAGTTTTGACGTCAACTCGATGAATAGCTCATTGAGTGAGCATGAATTTCCGCAGACCTTTTATCTTAAAAAAAAAAAAACAGTCATCGCTATGTTAGCCACAGTTTTATTCCAATGCCTCAATAATCCTATGCCTATACTTACCCATATTTTCAATTTTTCCTTTACCTCTAGCAACTTTCCTGATTCTTGGAAACAAGCCTACGTTGTTCCTATCCCAAAAAGCCCCAATCCTATTTTGCCATCTCAGTTCCGGCCTATATCTATACTTCCTTTTCTTTCCAAAGTCCTTGAGCACATTGTCCACCGTCAGCTGTCGTCTTTTCTCCTCTCCCACAATCTNTTCCTATCCCAAAAAGCCCCAATCCTATTTTGCCATCTCAGTTCCGGCCTATATCTATACTTCCTTTTCTTTCCAAAGTCCTTGAGCACATTGTCCACCGTCAGCTGTCGTCTTTTCTCCTCTCCCACAATCTTCTTAGCTCCTTCCAATCTGGTTTTCGCAAGGGCCACAGCACGGTTACAGCTCTTCTAAAAGTGACTGATGACATTCGCTGGGCCATGGAAAACAAACAACTAACTTTATTAGTGTTGTTAGATTTCAGCAGCGCTTTTAACTCTGTTGACTTCGATGTTCTGCTCGAAATACTCAAATCAAACAATATCTCCTCGTCTATTAACTGGTTTGATAGTTACCTTCGGGGGCGCTCGCAATGTGTCCGTCTTGACGAGACTTTCTCGGATTGGCAGAACGTCAGTGCGGGCGTTCCCCAAGGTGGTGTTCTTTCTCCTCTTCTGTTTTCTGTGTTTATAAACTCTGTCAGTAGGCTTATATCTTCTAAATTCCACCTCTACGCAGACGATCTCCAGCTATATCGCCACTTCTCGGAGCCTGTAGTTGAATCGGCTATTGCCGATTCAACTACAGGCCGTATTCCGAACCGCCGAACCGATTCAGTTAAAAACCTGGGTGTTATTGTAGATCGACATCTTTCGTGGAGTTCTCACGTTGCTGAGATTAGTAGGAAGGTGCACTTTGCCTTGCACTCGTTGAGATGTCTGCAGGGCTTCTTACCTCAGCATACAAAAATATCTCTCGTCCAAGCTCTCATTCTACCCATAATTGATTACGCCGATGCCTACTACTTGGATGCCACTGAGGAGCTCTCAAACAAGCTTGAGAGGATGCAAAATCTATGTATCCGTTTTATATACAATCTCAGAAAATTCTCATTTTCGCAAAGAACTTAAATGGCTCCCTATACGCCTTCGTAGGAATACTCGAATATTATGTCTCCTATTCAATATCCTACATAAGCCCACTTCTCCCTTATATTTACGTGAGCGATTCTCTTTCATTCGTTCTCCTGATGCTCCCTGCAGGTCCAACCAACGTTGTTTTGTTATTCCCTTCCCACAAAACCAATTTCTATTCTCACTCCTTTACTGTGCACGCGGTCAGACTGTGGAATTCGTTGCCGGCTGACATCCGAGTTTGCAAGTCTGTTTCTGTTTTTAAATACAAGGTCAAACAATTTTATCTCTCATCAACCGAATGATCATGGTTCTATACTCTTCGCATATACGAGTGTTACTGTGTTACTTATAATATTTGCTATGTGTATGTGCTATAATTCTCATGTTGTATTTGTTATTTTAGTTATGTGTTATTTGTTCTACACACACTTATCACTTTTTATTATTATTCTCATTATCCTCTCGCAGGTCTGCTGGAAGAGATTTCTCAAAGAAATAAGCAGTGCCTTTGTACATAATTTTCCTATTACTCTGTACTGTGTTTTGTTTTCTGTGTGTACATAAATAAATAAATAAAATAAATAAATAAATAATCGTGAACAACGATTATTGACGTTTAATACACAAAACAACACCCAATTTATATATTATCAATCACAATAAACTATTAAAAAACATTAAAATAAAACTTCAAGTGACGCTTCACTCGGGTTGCTGCCAAAACTCTCTGATCATATATAATAAGAATAGAGTAATGGTAGGCCATTGAGATTTTTACTAATGGAATCATTAATATCTAAAAATATTAAATAAAATAACTCATGGTTTTAAGTAATAATTATTATTACAATATATAAATATTGAATTAAACAAAAATAAACTAAATAGTCTGAATTATAACCATTAGTTATTTTTTTTATTATTTGTAGTTCAAGTCACAGACAACTCTTTCGTTTGGCAGCATATAGGTTTACTATAAGGCTGTATGGGCTAAGCCCTTTGCCTATTGGCGAATTTATAAAAATATGGCACTAAGTTTTGGGATGTTATCAAATAAGTAATTTATTTTTTTGTAAAACAATACCAGGGCGAAAGAAATGTTGATACATAAACTAAACAACGTAAAAAAATAAGGCATAGTTTTTCAAGTACAAATAGTTTTGACATAAAGTTGGCCCACTTTTGGGCATTGTCCTTTACAAAAATAACCTATGCGCATTCCAAAAAAAATTGACTTCTATGTTCGTACGACACGTCTTACCATTAATTTCTTAGAGTAGTTTCGTAAAACGTTTTCAAAAATTAGTTCTTTGATTGTTGACGCCAAACGAGCCGTATCAAACATAAATTAATTATTTCTTTAATTCTATAAAAATACTCAGGTGAATCAACTCTAATTGAACACTGACTTGCGAAACGTTAACGCAATTTTATAGTCGTACGACGTGACTCAGAAGTTGCGCGGGGCAAGATTGTCCATTTATAAACTGACACATTGTTTTGCTTATAAAGTTCAGAATGTGCACATTATGCATCTACGTAAATCACCCTCATTTACATATTGTTATGCTTTTGAAAACGTATATTATAATATATAATTATATTCGAGTGTTGTCGGTGTGACGTCAATGATTTACGTGTGAAATTATTGAATTGAATAATAAAATATTCGTAACGGTTCTCTGTTTAGTAATTGAAATACAACACATTGACATATGTATAAAAATAATACATTGAAAAACAACCATTAGCAATTCGTAAAGAAATCGAGAGAAAATTGCTAAAGAAAATAATATACTCGTAATATAAAGAACTGATATAGTAAATTACTAAATTACTACATAGTATAAAACAAAGTCGCTTTCTCTGTCCCTATATCTGTCTGTCCCTATGTATCCTTAAATCTTTAAAACTACGCAACGGATTTTGATGCGGTTTTTTGAAACGAAGTTCCTTACGGGCAGGCTTGGAGGAGAAAGGGATTTTGCTGCGCGACCGAACTGAAAAAATTTTTATAGTAAAAACCGTAAGAAAAAGTCCGTGGAATAAGGACTTGTTTTCCGCCCAGCGATATTTCACCGTGCGATTTTTTTCTCGTAATTCTTTTTTATTTTTTATATGGAACTTCGTTCCTATCCGGTGTCCCACGACACCACACATCTTTTTTTAATAGATAGAGTGATTGAAGGGGAAGGTTTGTACGTACAATAACATCCATTAAATAGTGGAGAAATCAATAATAAATTACAGTTTCCGAAGCGAAGCGAGGGCGGGTCGCTAGTATAATATAATATAAACAAGTGAAATATTAACACTATAATTACCACGTTTCCAGCAAGTTAAAGTCAGGTTCACTTGTAATCTGTAGTTACTAAAATGACTCACTATTATATTATAGTTTGCAACAATGGCCATTGAAATGAACGAACGGCACTCACAGCGTCTCAATTAATATTGTTGATAGAGTGATATGAATGTAAACTTTGAGAAGCAATTGTTAAACTGAATTTTTGAAGTAAGTTCTATAGTACGTGTCGTCCCCTTGCTTCACCAACATAGCATTGTAAAAATATTACTAGAGTAGATAATTCTTTACGCATACATATCAAAAGCAATGAATTACAAATATAATGGTTATAACACAAATGTAAATAACGGTGATCGATCAATGAGATTTCTTTTGCACAACCAATGAAATAAGCAGGATATATTATGGAAGAAGTACATAATGTTATGCATATAATAATAGTATATGTATTAATGTATTCTATAGTATTTATTGGTAAATACAACTGTTAGCTTCCCTTCGTTTGCCGCTAGGGGCGCTGTTCCAACTCCATACAAAGAGTTAACTTTTACGCGATCGAGAACGTTAAAAAACTTGCACTAAGCGCACGGATCGGAATCGCGACCCACTCAGAATATTTTGTGAGCGAGAAACTAAATAGGGCTATAAAAAATTTTTTAAGGGATTTTATGACCTGGTAACTATGACCTTTAGGTCAAGTCTTATTTTAATTTCAATGGAAACTTTTTATATGAAAAAATGGTATTATGAAATGAAATGGAATAGTATAAATGAAATATGTAGTTAATAAACCACCGCTATTACACATTTAAACCTGAAGAAACACTAAATAGACAAAATAAAACAGATCACACAACTTCACTCCTCGCGTTCCCGCCAAAAAATCCAACCTATATACTGTATGTATACCGATTACCATACAATTAATATTTTTATTATATCAATTTGATTCTAGGACAAAAGCATGGTGGTGTTCGTCGAGGCGGCAGTTTTGGATGACACACTCCTTGCGGAGTATGGGGACTTTACGTCGGTGAAGGAACGTCTGATGACTTTCAGAGCTAGCACCGACGATCTCACTGATAAGATCGACTTCATCATATGCCTGGGGGGTGACGGGACCCTGTTGCATGCTAGCTCACTTTTCCAGGTTGGTATTGTAAGATTTCAGGAAGGATTTTAATTATTTTTTCATCTTCTTATATTTTTTAAGGGATTTTATGACCTGGTAACTAAGACCTTTAGGTCAAGTCTTATTTTAAATTTAATGATAACTTTTTGATATTAAAAATGATATTATGAAACAAAACGAAGTTAATTATTAAGAAACATGGCATGAAATGAAATGAAAACGAAATGAAATGAAATGAGATCAGATGATATGGGATGAAGTATAATCTCAGTAAAATGGTGGTAATTTACTGAGACCTTTCAGTGGACTTTTTGGAGGATCCCGAGAAGTTACGTTCAGCGGCTTTGTTTCATTTTACCACATTTGTGCATTTTCACAGATATTAAACAGTTAATAAACCACCGTTATTACACATTTAAACCTGAAGAAACACTAATTAGATAAAATAAAACAAATCACACAACTTCACTCCTCGCGTTCCCGCCAAAAAGTCTTTCATCTTCTTACGAAGACAATAATGTGACCTTATTTTTTTACATGGTTATGTTTAAATAAGGAATATGGTACTTTTTAAGTCACTGAAATATGTCAGTCGTTGAATTATGACGTCATGAACTGGAGTTTAAATGAAATAATTCATTCTTTCAGCAATCAGTGCCGCCGGTGATGGCATTCCACTTGGGCTCGTTGGGTTTTCTGACGCCCTTCGAGTTCAACAACTTTCAGGAGCAAGTCATGAACGTTTTAGAAGGTAATACAAGAAAACTCTAATGTCGCGTATTATCTTTATTCTTATAGACCGGCTTCCATCTTTTCTGTTGATAGCGATTTAAAAAAAAACTGCTATTTTAAATTAAATTAATAAGTATAAAAAAGTTTCAATTGAATTGCTCCAATAAATCTAGTATTCTAATATATTCTATCTATATATATATAAATGAATTGCTGTTCGTTACTCTCGCTAAAACTCGAGAACGGCTGGACCGATTTGGCTAATTATGGTCTTAAATTATTTGTGGAAGTCCAGAGAAGGTTTAAAAGGTAGATAAACATGAAAATGCTCGGAATTAAGTAAAAATAACAATTTTATTTTTCCTTTGATGTGTCCCCCATCGGACGGATTCCTTTTGTTTGTATTAAGTTTATTTTATACAAAAGCTTAGATTTTTTATTTATCGATTGAGGCACTGCGAAGTCTGCCGGGTCAGCTAATTTTCTAATAAATAAATCCTTCCTACAGGACACGCGGCTCTAACTTTAAGGTCCCGTTTGCAATGCGTAGTGCTTCGGAAGAGTCAAGACGACAATAAAGACAAGAAGAAGCCGACCACGATACTGGTGCTGAACGAGGTTGTCGTGGATCGAGGACCTTCGCCGTATTTATCCAATATAGATTTGTTCCTCGACGGGAAACACATCACGTCTGTGCAGGGAGACGGTGAGATGTTCGACTATTATCTTCTCTTTCGCTCTCATCGGTAGGGCGTATTGTAAGAATGAGTAAGCACCACAGTCCCGCTCTGTTTCTCCTATGAAGCAGTCGTGCGTTTCGGTTTGATTTGAACGATTTGATTGAGACGACAATGTTATTAGGACTTCGATTGCATGTCTTTCTTTAAAAAAAAAGTGGTGGAAATCACGTCGTGATTACGAGCTCCCATAATCGCTTGACACTAAGAACAGCAAATAATAAAGAAAAATATCATTCAAAGGTTCCGGCATGTGACGATCGCTATAAACAAAAGATATATTTAAATTTGAAGATATATTAATTATACTATAGTTATTTGTTGGCGCAGCACTTATTACATAACTAAGATTTGTTAAAGTTAACTGTTATAAGTCCAACGATTGTAAATAATTGTTTAAGACGGTATTCAGGAGAATTCATGAACAAAATACCCCCATTATTCTACTAGAAACACGAGTGACTATTGTCACACAACACATGCTGACTTGTTTCATACCCGAAACGGTAAACAGTCGACGTCGGTTTTAACGGTGCTTTTAGGCACCACAAGCACCGGTCACCGTCCTCGTCGAACCCGTCGCTTGCGACGAAGGGCTCGACGAGCGAATTAACCCATAGACACAGCCCACTGAGTTTCTTCTTCTCAGTAGGTCGCGTTTCCGATCCGGTGGCAGATTCTGCGAAGCACTCTTGCTAGGGTCAATGTTAGCATCACTCCGGCTTGAGCCCCGTGAGCTCACCTACTAGCTAAAGTTACGCTGAAATAGCCTCTCAAGGCTAGCAAGCAAGCTTAGGTAGGGAAAAAAAGACTTGAGGTTAATTTAATAAAAGGAGTTTTTTTGGAAAGGAACGCTGAGGTCATCATTTTTAAAATCAACATGACTATAAAATGGCTGGCTTTAAAAAAACAATATGGCGTCCTATAGCTCCGTGTATTAGCTGTATATAAAGGACGTTGCAGGGCTGATAGTGTCGACGCCGACGGGCAGCACGGCGTACGCGGTGGCGGCGGGCGCGAGCATGATCCACCCGTCGGTGCCCGCCATCATGGTCACGCCAATTTGTCCACATTCGTTGTCATTCAGACCCATCGTAGTGCCGGCCGGCGTCGAGCTCAAGGTGAGAATTTTATTGTTTAAAACGCCAAATAGAAAAATCGCGAAGTCTGATCGCAGCGACACCTACCGACTCCATTTTTTTTTATAAGGGATTTTATGGTCTGTTTTACGGCCTGGTAACTAAGACCTTTAAGTCAAGTCCTAAAGATTCCATTTGTAGGTTTAACATAAATAATACACATAAATTAGTTATAGATAAGCAACTCAAGCATTCAAATGTTTACGGGCGTCGGCTTCGCTTCGATTAGTTTCTCATTGCTCCTATAGATGGCAGTAATATATTATAGGTACCTTCATATATTTTTATTTTTAGTGAAGGATAAATTTTCAGAAACCACACATTGATAAAATTTAATCAATTTGTCTACAATAAATGAAGACTTGTATGATTTAATATATATTTTTTAAATCTGTGTTTAGTTATCCAATAATTAAATGCTTGTATTTTAACAACAGATAAGTTTAGGGACATCCCCTACAAGATGTCGCCAGTTTCCATACAAAAAAGATTTTTCTTAAAGTATCACAATTTCAGGGCCCTGGGTTTACGACAAAAGGAAAGATCTTCCACCGAGCTGATTAAATATTACTCGGTAGACCGACGGTCCGGTCACAATAATAATAATAAACTTAATCTTAGTTTCATTGTAGTAATACAAATGGCAGGACAAGATTAGAGAACTTAATCTACATGAAATAGTATGTTCACATAAGTACTGTCGCAAAGAAAAATGTTATCAATGTTTTTTATGAAGTAAATTAATTTATATTGACTGTTTCCTCTCATGGCAGTTTTTATTTCTTTTTATACAGAATTTAACAGGAAGATAACGTTTTAGATCGCGCTATCGCCGGAAGCGCGTAATGCGATGTGGGTATCGTTCGATGGAAGGAACCGACAGGCGTTGCAACACGGAGATAGGTACTGCATACACATCGTGCAGATAAAATAGTCTTGTACATTGCCTGTTGTCGCTTTATGCAATCCGCATGTATGATATATCGTTGCTTTTAGACGAACAAAACAAGCGCATATTACTAAAATTCTAACATTTGTATATATTATTAAAAATAACAACAACTTTATTATTGTATTGACAAGGACAATAAACAAATTAGCCGTTCGTAATTAGTGATTATAGCGGCCCGCTCCGGCTCCGCTCGGATCTTTAACAAAATTTTCAATGATATTTAGACGTTGTATTATTTTTTTAAATAAAAGAACACTTATTGCGGCATAAATATAATAGTTAGACATATGCTGTAGCGACACTTTTTGTAAATAATAATGTGTTCTACAAAGTCGTAGTACATTATTTTATTCCATCATCAGTAGTTTTAGCAGGGCACGCGATGTAAAGAATATTTTAGGTAATTTTTTTACACTTTGGGTTACACTATTGGAGTTTTAGTAAGGATCCCAAATTTTTTCAAAAAAGATTATAGCCTATGTCACTCGGGGATAGTGATAGGGGATAGAGATAGCTTCCAAACAATGAAAGAATTTTTTAAATCGGTTCAGTAGTTTCGGAGCCTATTCAATACAAACAAACAAACAAATCTGTCCTCTTTACAATATTAGTATAGAAGTATAGATAATATTAGTATAGATTACAAAAACGTATGTCGTTCATAAGATTTATTGTGTACGGAATGAGCTGACAATTAAGGATTCAATGCGATTAAAGAAATCCTAAAGGAGGGTGTGCTATAAAATATGATATCAAACCCGTCGCTCTGCTGGTTCGCGACTGAGCGCTTACGGTCAATAACATCCGTGCTCCCGACTGGCAGCTGTAACCTGCCGGAGATGGTCTGCTTGGCTCACTGATGCTCATTGACAATAATGATATCTGGATCGATGCGGGCCTTGTTTCAGATAATGCCTAGCCCCGAGGCCCGTAATTCAGCCAGCGTGTCGTTCGACGGCCGCTCCCAACTCACTCTCAGACCCGGCGATAGGTAACATGGGCTTGGCTAGGGGTGGCTTGAGACACGTCATCAAATTGTCATTTAACATGAATTCATTTCCACAAATCAATTAATAAAAATAAATCTATGTATAGATAGACTTTTCGACTTGACAGTACATTTCCTTGTTGGAAAATCGGGATATAATATTGTTTGTTCTTAAATATATTTTCGAAATTATAATAAACATAAACCAATATTGGTCATTGGAAAAGTATTATTTTCGATTTCTAGATATTATTAACATTTGCATACCAAATAAGATTAATTCGGTGGGGTAGCGTATAATGCTTTTTGTTTTGTTCCTTGCTTTGCTTGTGTGTGTGTCTTTCTTGATGTTTATTATAATATGTAATATAGATATTATTTTCTATTTTGACTAATCTAATTTTAGATACTAACAAATAAAAAACTGTGTGCGTACAACTTGGTGCACGTGAATGAAGTGAAACTTCTTTTTCGATGTGTAGTAGTATTGTGGTTTTCTTCATTTTTCATCCTTAAATCAGATTGCTCTTGTAATAGGGGATGCTGTGTATAAGAGATGCGACATCTTCAACATTTATATTATATATACTTTAAATTATAGATAGAAAAATAAATATATATATTTTTTAAATACTTCGTTAAAATATTGGATGCTACTCTTTGCTAACGCTCGCGCTGGCCTGTAACAGGTATACTACGCGCATGCGTTCGAGTGACACGCATCCACTCTCGCTCTGTCTCTTTCTAGTATGGTAGCGTTAAACGTTTAACGCAACCTTGTTTGAAGTCGCATTAGAAGTTTCACTTCAACAAAAAAAAAAAAAAAAGCTCATTCGCCAATTCATAATTGACCTGTTGTTTCGTTTCGCGATACATAACACGAAACAAATGAATACGTGTTGCAGTCTCTACGTGACCACGTCCGTGTATCCGGTGCCGTCGATATGCGCCCAGGATCAGATCTCGGACTGGTTCGACTCGCTCGCCGAGTGCCTCCATTGGAACGTTAGGAAGAAACAGAAGCAGATGGACGAGCTGAGCGACCTCACGCACTCGTCGAGCGATAACCTCGAGGAGCTAGACAATAACCACGATGAGAGACCATCGGACACGTGATTGTACAATGTGTCGAAAAATCGATAAACCAGCAACTAATCAACCTACCTGATTCACGGCAAACCGATATGAGTCAATATATCACGATGAGTCGATGATATTAATAATCGAATATTAATCGCTAAACTAGCCAACTCGATTTTATGTCAAGTTAATAAATAATTCTTTGTGATTTCCCTGCCCTAATAAGCCACAATAAATCGTTCCCTGGTTATCGATATTATTTATTTCAATAACGCATTTCAATATCGATTTAGAAATGAAAATAAATTTTTTATAAACAAATAAATAGTAGGGATCTGTCATACACGGCCCCTTTAATTTGGTGATGTTTTAGTATTGAAACAAGGTACCTACCTATTCATGATCTACTTTAATATACTAGAATGTATCTACTATTACGTTTAAATTATATTTTATTGGGTATTTCATAGGGAATATTATAATATGTTAGAGAAATATACTGTTTTAAAGGTTGATAAAAACATACATAATCTTCACTGAAAGGTCTATTAAACTATTACATAGACGTGTGTATACAAAAATATATTTTATACATATCGCTTTAATGAGTCACATGCCAACATAAAATACGTTATCTATGGTATAATATGTTTAAAGAAATTGAATTTGTGAAGCTGGTATGTACCGCATCTGACGTAAAATTGTATAAAAAATTAAGTGATGTATACCGACACAATACTTTTATTAACATAAGGCTTATATAATTTGATTTTGTTTTAGATTCCCTGGGACAATAAATATTTATATTAATTTGTTATGTCTTTGTTGGGTACGTTGGATGCTGTTTATTGTGAATTTTTGTTATTTTTTTTTTTAATATCTCCGTCTTAATTTAAATATAAAAGTGAAATTTATGTTATTAGATTCTGATGTTTTTGATTATTTTGAATCTTTGTATGAGATATGTAATAAACAATAAAATTTATTATGGTGCTATTTCCATAGGTACTTATCTATAGTGCCAATACAATTTTTAGGAAATACATTTAGATAAATCCGCTTAGAAACTAATGTATAAGGATCTTGTCTTATTAAAAATTATCTCAAAACTAACTTTCACAGTTAAATATAGATAGTATGTACTGAGTCCTGAACACATAAAATTTATTTTAAAACTACCCTCACGGTATAAGTTTGCATGAATTATTTTAGTTTTAACAGTATTCAATTGTCGATTATAACCTTAGTCTTTCGTGACCACGAGAACTAGTGTTCTAAACAACAGAAATAATACAATTGAAATAACAATAGCAAGATTCAATTATTCCAATCGATATTTCATAAGTCTGTTAAATCGTTCTTAGAAAAGTTTCGTGCACAATATTATTTCTTTAATTATATTACAAAAATGATATAATATTTAATATCGTATTAGGTACTATTATTAAATTCAAAAAAATACAATTAATTATAATGTTAAATGAATTATTTGTATGGTACAGGTACATAATTTTATTTTAAACGATCGATAAATAAGAAAGATTTTTAACAAAAATAATACTGTTGCCTACATAAGCGCCGCCATCGGTGAATACTGTATCAACAATTCTTTACATGACAACTATCTGATTTAAATTCGATCCGAAATTTGTTGTAAGCTGGTGTTTGTGTTCTATTTTATGAGATAACGTATACATTTGAAATAAAACTGATTTTACAGAAGATTTTTAATTATTTTCCTACAAGTTTAAATTTATATTAGATACTTCAATTTAGACATACTAACCCCACATCTTTTCAATATTATTTACTAACACACTGAACACACACAATTTGCTACCACTACCTACCTCACTTCTCAAATATTAAGTAATATGATATTACACTTAATATTGCATGTAGTGAGGTGATAGATATTACTAATATCAATGACCTCACTACATGCAAGTTTCACTTAAGTACCTCAAGCCTCAAATAATAACAGGTCAGGTACGGCCCCGCTACGGACTAAATAAAACAAGGAAGCTAGCATAAATGAATAGCACACATTTAATTAACAATCTCCAAAGAAAGCAGAATCATGGACTTTGTCATTCTCCTTTAAAAGGTGGTTTGCGTTGCTTCTGACGTGCCAAAGGACTGACAGTACTCTTCAATCATCAGTTTCCAAAACTACATAATTTCGGTACTCTTTTTTTTTCTTACCTATGCTGATAGCCTTGAGAGGCTATTTCAGCTTCTCCTTGACGTCTAGGTGAGCTCACGGGGCTCAAACCGGGTTCGTTGCTAACACTGCCCCCAGCAAGAGCAGTGCTTCGCAGAATCAACCACCGGATCAGAAAGGCAACCCACTGAGAAGATCCGGCGAGAAACTCAGTGGGCTGTGACTATGGGTTAATTTACTCGTCGAGCCCTTCGGCGCAAGCGACGGGTTCGGCGAGGACGGTGACCGGTGCTTGAGATACCTAAAAGCACCGTTAATGGATAGGGAAGATCCATAATAACGTGGATAAAGTATTTAGCGATTTTAATGAGACGTAATAAGGATACTTAGCAATCGCATCGGCCAATCACATAATATTTACCTCAATTTTTTCATGAATACATCTCCGCTCACTCAATTATTGTTGCCCCAATCTGTAAGTATTTGCGCCCGGATGACACGGTAAACCCTTTTCGTAACCACCGCTGACTAGAGCCCAGACCCGCCTCACGCAGCAGCCAACCACCATTGTCGCCCTAGACACATCCTGACAGCTCGGCATACGGATAGTATGCTAGCAGTGAGTAGTAGACATGTGTAAGTAATGCGAGTGATATTACTCCGGTAATATTACTCTAGGATGTAATGCAACATCACACATTACGCGAAGGAAACAAACATCACACTATCACCCACAGAACACTATTACTTCTAGCAAAGCTATCACCCAACATGTTTCTTTCTTTGTCGTGTAATGTTGCTTGATACACGAACGGAACCGAGCGAGCGAGACAGACCGATCTACGCAAAATAAATGAGCAAGCAACACGGAATTATTCCTAGTGATTTTGAACCGTATGCCCTGGCCGCTAGGTACATTTTTATACCTATGGTACGGCTGAATTTTAATATAGGTATTTGTGTTTATATTTTTCATGGACCAGCCGGTAGCTGCCCGCAAGTAGTTACTTAATTTTTTATTCGCAACTTTTCTAAAATCGCTAGTCGCTCGTAATTGTTTAGTAATATTTCATATTAATTTTTGTGTTTGAATTACTTAAGCACTTGTTTGAAGATAGTTTTATTATTTGTTTTAATGCGTGTTTAATAAGTGAAAGAAAGAATGGCGTCTAAATGAAAGTACAGTCCTCTTTGGATGCATTTTGAGGAGACCGCGCCGAAACAATGCGTCTACTNATAGTTTTATTATTTGTTTTAATGCGTGTTTAATAAGTGAAAGAAAGAATGGCGTCTAAATGAAAGTACAGTCCTCTTTGGATGCATTTTGAGGAGACCGCGCCGAAACAATGCGTCTACTGCTCTCGTATATTAACATTATCGTCGAGCTCAATTTGCAGTCTAAGTCGCCATATGAAATCCGTTCATCCCACAATAAATTATAGTAAAAAACAAAATTATTATATTATTAAATAAGTCAATCTCTGTCAAGTAATATAACAGTGTATTACAATACAAAGTATGAACACATCACTTAAGTAATGATTCGGATGTATAGATACAATGTATTCGTCACAGTATCTATTGAACGCACCGAGTAATGTTAAGAGTGATGTGTAATGTTTTCGAGTAATATCACCTGTCTGTAAAAGTGATGTCATATCACATTACATTGAGAAGTGATGTTTTGCGCAAGTCTAGTGAGTAGCAGCACCCAACCAATATACACCATACCGTTGTCATACCCATAGACCACAACATTTGACCGCTAATTTTTTCGCCGAAACTAATGAACTAATGTCGCGACTGAGATCCAGTAATACAAAATCTTTGCACTCCATCAAATTAAATTAAACGTATTTTATTTCAAGAATACACACGAAGATCGGCGAGTTTTTTAACGTTGTCGATATCGTAAGAGTGAATTCAAATTTGTATGGAGTTGGAACGTTTGCCGCTAGAAGCCCTATTCCAACTTCATACAAACTTGAGTTAGCTTTCACAAGAACGTTATCGAGAACGTTAAAAAACTCGCACTGAGCACACTGATGCTTAAGAAATTATCTTAAAAACTAGGAAATTACTTTGTCTACTGTTTTTTGTTGAGACTTCACCTCATAATACCGGTCACTCACATGCGCACGAATACGCAAACCCGCAAGTGTGGGACGACATTTGCAAATGATTATGCAACGTTTTCGCTGGATTCGTGGTTTTTCAAGCTGTGTCGGTTTTTTAACAGACATCAAAGCGCGCGAACCGCGAACCTTCGCGTAGTCTCCCACACATTCGTTTGCCCAGTTGCGCCGACGATTGCGAAGGTAACGGACGTATCGCCATTTTCATAGTTCGTGACGTCTACAGTATGAAAGAATTCAAAACTCTTTTTCTCTTCAATGTTCTATTGACGAATTAAAAAGGAGGAGAAATTCGTGAGACATTCGTAAACAAGTGTAGGAGGAAGCGCAAACGGGTTCGCAAATTGAGTATGCGAACCTATTTGCACAGCCGCTAGGTTTGCGAATGAATGTTTGACGGCCCTTCACATGCGCGCAAACATTCGTACAATGTACGANTTTCTCTTCAATGTTCTATTGACGAATTAAAAAGGAGGAGAAATTCGTGAGACATTCGTAAACAAGTGTAGGAGGAAGCGCAAACGGGTTCGCAAATTGAGTATGCGAACCTATTTGCACAGCCGCTAGGTTTGCGAATGAATGTTTGACGGCCCTTCACATGCGCGCAAACATTCGTACAATGTACGAATATTTGCGCGCATGTCAGTGGCCGGCATAAGGCCTGTGACCTATTAACCGTAAGCTGAAAGTATAGTGTTGTTAAGAAATTGAAAACAAGGTCCTGCGTATATTATTTCGGGCAAAGTTTATTGATGTAATAATTTATAAAAATCTTATATTCACTGATAAGGCTTGAATTCGATCTGAATATATACAAAATTATGTTACATAGGCATGTTTTCATAATATAATGTTCAATGTTTATACTCAATATTTTAATAAAAAAGGCTTTTTGATCTTTATTTGAACGAATAAATTGAAAGGATTTATAACTACATTCCTTTTGCCTATTCAAATTAGCAAAATTGACAAAGAATTTTCTATGTTGACATTTCCCAAATAACCAAAAATTCAATTTTATGTAACTACAACTGAAATTGAAACAAAAACCAAAAATGTCTAAGATACCAATTTTAATAAATAATTTCTGTAAAAGAAACATTTCTGTAACGGCGACTAGAGAAGGTAAAAGGAATTTTAGAAAATTTGTGATACCAAACAAGAGAGGTTCTGTACTTCACAAAAAAAAACAAATGACCGAGGATAGGGAATTTGAAATCGACAAACGAGGAGTTAGAGATATTGGCTATAACTTAAACGGACGTTTTGTCATAGTACCTGAAATGATTCCAGAAATTATCGTACCAAACTTAAAAGATTTTGATTTGAAACCATATGTTTCATACAAAGCCGCTGATGTCATTCAAAGTGAATTTACACCTTCTCAACTATTCGATGCTGTGTACAGTAAGAAAATTGTTACCGATTTTAAACAAGGAAAATTAGATGAGGAAGGTAATCCAATAGAACCGTCTGAAGAGGAGTCATTGAAGCCTGAGGAAGCCATTATTCGTGCAAAACAAACTGGCTCAGATATATTTTAATTTAATAATAACAAATTAGTCTTGGTAGTGTAGTATAGATTTAAGATTAAGAAAATAAAAAACATTTCCTATGTGATTCAGTGACAGTAAAATTATGTCAGTTAATCAAAAACAGACCTTTCTAAATAAATAGATATATACAGGCAGTGGATTTAAACAACATTTTCAATGACATTTTCTTTGCTATTTGAAACCTTAAGAATATTATAGAATAATACTGTTAAGCCAATTTTAATGTATCTAATTATGTATATGCATTGTCATATCAAAATTTAATTTGCCCATTACAACTTTTCTAATTCACTTATTTCATGTTTTGATTTTTTGTTTAAAAACTACCATTTCATGCCAATTTTCATTACCCACAAATATAATTTGAACAAACACATTTTTGTTTTTTATTTACTAAATAAAAACGCCTAATTTACATTTTAATTGTTAAAAAAAATAGGTTGGTACACATTTTGGTAGATTTTTTTATATTTATAACTAAATGGTTTTGTTTCAAAAGTAATGAAGTTTAACAGCAAAGTTAAAAGTCACGTAACTAACATTCAGTGCGCAGATGACCTATGGTTTATCAAAAAAAACATTACCTACAAATGAACCTATCATTTGAATAAACTTACAATACTTCATTCAAACTACAACTGTCGTTTCGCGCGGTAGCAAAGCGCGTGCGCACTTTCATTCTATAGCTCGCCAACTGTATATGTAAATATATACATAACTACCTACAATATAATGGGTGGTAACTATTCAGCTATGGATCCGATGGAAGTGCCTGTACCAGATTTAGAGAAATTATTAGAAAGAGACGGTTATTTGAAGCCATACGAAAGAGAAATTAGAAGGAGGTAAGTCTAAGTGTATATTTTATATATTAAAAGTGGCTTAACATCATTAATATGTACTTAAAGTAAGATAATTATTATTTAGAAATTGAAGTGCTGTTTGAGGTTAAGTTGCCGTGTTTACGATTTAGGAGTCTTTGACATTTAAGCTCTAAAGCGAATTGGGAGTGTATTTGTCGTAAAAATTAAAGAAATACATTGACACTAGGAATACTTTAGTGGTTATATTAATGTATAAATGTTAAAGATCTAGTTTTTTGTCATAAAATGTAATTAGAAATGTTTAACACAGTATTTTTATCAAATGCGCGTTAAAGCGAAACAACCGCTACAATCACCTTAGGACTTTTCCAATGTCAAACCGAAGGTCAATTTGATAAAAATGTAATTCTAAAATTTTTAATTTATTTTTAATAATCCTGTGTCTGGTAGGTAAATGTCAGTAGATTTTCTCCGAAAGAATGTTTGTACATATTCTGGAAGGTACTTAACATTTTTTTTACTTTTTTTTGTAACTTTACCATACCTATAAATATCAATTTGCCAACCATCCAGAATATCTAAATAACTATAGTTTAGTAGTAAGTATATGAACAGGCAAACTAATAACTCTCACGGACCACAAGCTTACCGAACTTGGTTTTTACCAAATTTTACAAATAATTATAGTTTCATGTTAATACCTAGTCAGTGTATATCATAAAATTATCTCTCTGTCATAAACAAAACAACTTTAATATTAGAAACGCAATTTACGAGCTATTTTTTAAAAAAGGCCGTAGATTCGTTTGCATCTATTTCTTGCCTTTACTTGCCTGATAATTTTAGTTGTATTAAAAAAATAACAATCTTACCCTACAATTCGTCATAAGCACATTTGATACATTAGAACAAATTACAAGTTGTAATGCTTAATGTAGGTATCCTGTTTAATATAGGTATAATGTAGGTAGGTTATATAGTTTAAGTACCCGAAAACTTATTTTTTTTTTCAATTCTGTGGTAACGTTATGTTATGACATAGTTTGTCAATTCGAACATCACGAATGAATGCGATTACTGCCAAATGTACTTTTTCTTATATGTAGATCCAGTGAAATGCTTATATTTTGAATTACTATTGATATTAAAGGAAACAAATGCAGAGATAGTGTATGAGACCTGGTTTTAAGTGGTTATTGGAACCTACCATTAACTAATTGCCCGCAGTCTATAGCAATAGATTCGAACCCGAATTTCTATCTTAACGTCCCACTAAGTCCTATCCAGACTTGTAAATCCGAAGCCCATCGTTTTGAATGAGCGCCGACGTCACGTCGATCGTAAAACTGCAAGCTAAATCGAAGAACTCGATACCATGCTGTGCAATTTTTAATGGCCCTACCTAGTACAACAAGACCATTAATAAAAAACACCAAGAACCATTAAAAATAATAATTTATCCGGGATATAAAACGTTTGGCTCAGTATTACTTTTCGAATGTCAATCTAGTTTATCTGTCTAAGGTATTTTCAAAAGCCATTTAAATTAGCTATAGATAAGAACACGATTTTATGATCTCGGAATTACGTTTCATTACTTAGAACGTTATTAGTCACTGTTAACGTAATTTACAGATATGCTTGCTACAAAGACATTTGGGACCGTATCGAATCATGGGACGGTGGCTTAGAAGCATTCACGAAGGGCTACAAATACTACGGACCCCAATTTAATCAGGATGGCTCCGTTACGTGGCGCGAGTGGGCTCCAGGAGCGCATAGCCTACATCTTCGAGGTGAATTCAGTAAGTAGTATCTTGAAAATTAACTAAATCACAAGATTTTTTAAATGTTACTAGCGTACCTACCTATGTGTAAAATAATCCCCTGTCTTTTAAAGTTTTCCAATTAAACAAGCCATTCCGACTGGTGTACATTTTTAAGAGACCCCTCAGCATTGAGCGGCATCTTTGCTGTATTCCTGACGTTCAGAAGCAATAAAAAACCCACCAATTGGTTCTAATTTTTTAATGATAGTATACCAGTCAATTACCTGTTTTTTTTTTGTCTATGTCACTCTTCTGTGAGGACTAACAGCAATTAACTGCATGCTCCTTCTATATCACCTATCTGTCATATACCTTTCCAGATGGATGGGACTCGAAGAGCCATCCATTCGCTAAAAAGGAGTACGGCAAATGGGAGATTCAAATCCCCGCAAATCCAGATGGTTCGTGTGCATTGAAACACGACTCCCGTGTCCAAATCATAGTGAACGACAACTTGTACAGGATATCACCGTGGGCCAGTTACGTGAAGCCACACGAGGGTTTTACTTATCAACATTTTATTTATAAGCCAGAACAGGTGAGATACATTGCATCTATAACATTAATCTCTCGAAATTATATAAATTAAATAATTATATAGAGCCTGTTTATGAGTACTCTCAGATAGCAAAGCAAGGTGGTATGTTAACAATGTCAATAATGAACGATACCTCATTTTGAACTTTGACTTATTATAATATCTGTGGGTTATCGATGACATTCGTTCACACACGCACACACACACGCACCTATCTACGTGCTCAAAATAAAAAAAGCAAAAATCGTCTTAGTTCGAAAATCAACTTTGTGAAACATTACGTTTCTCCTTAGCCCTACAAATTCAAGCATCCAAAGGTAGACAAGCCAAAGTCTCTTCGCATCTACGAGTGTCACGTTGGTATAGCAACGTCCGAGGGTAAAGTGGGCTCTTACAACGAGTTCCGCGAGAACGTCCTGCCCAGAATCAAGAAACAGGGTTACAATGCTATACAGATCATGGCCATAAAGGAACATGCATATTACGCTTCGTTCGGCTATCAAGTTACCAGCTTTTTTGCTGCCAGCAGGTGAGTTTAGATCGGAAAGTCAATTCTGCTGATAAAAAATTTACTGGTGAGAAGGGTTCTTATGAAACCGCACAACTAGGTATATCACCAACCTATTCATTTCCACCGTGAAGCAGTAATCCATTCGGGTTGAAGGGTTTTTTTTCATACCTGTCTGCCACTATCTTGGAGGGCTTCACCTTGACTGATGGGCAAGCCCACGGGGCAGGTTGAATTTTTTTCTATAATCTGGTCTAGCAAAAGCAGTGCTTCGCTGAATCTACCGGATTCACAACCGCAACCCACTGAAAAGATCCAGCAAGAAACTAATTGGGTGCAGACTTGAAAGAAGGAGTATAACCGTCGGTATACTGTACAATTGAGACATAGACCTCATGTCTTAAGGTGGCATTCACACAATGGCTTAGCTTCGCTTACCACTTAAACCCACTTGAAAAAAGGTACCACAAACGTTAAAAACAAAGTAAATTTGTGTAAAGATTGTTCACGAAAGCTGACGGTTGCTGGTTAGCAATCGATTGAGAACCGCTTTTCCGTGTACAAGAACTTCCTCTTAAACAACTGTCACAAGTTTTAACGCGCTTTTATTATCTTGGTATGTACATATGTAACGAAATCTTTGAACTTCATTTTGACCGACTTTTAATGTCCAATTAAGTTAAAAATCTGCACACGCATTAAGTACCGATGACAGTACAGTAATTTTATATTTTTTTGTTCTAATAGCCCGACTAGCATCAACAGAAAAATACAATAGGAAAAGCTGAAATTAATTTAATTGTTAATTCGGTTTGCTAATTTATGTATATTTATTTTTAAACTACATCTATTATTACGAACATAATTTTTTTTGTAGTCGTTACGGGACTCCTTGCGAACTAAAACAGCTGATAGATCGGGCACACGAGATAGGTCTATACGTTCTACTGGACGTGGTACATTCGCACGCTTCGAAGAACACTCTAGACGGACTCAATGAGTTTGACGGCACAAACGCTTGCTACTTCCACGACGGACCTAGGGGCACACACTCTTTGTGGGACAGCAGACTGTTCAATTATTCCGAGTAAGTATAAGATGGTGTGGCTAAGACGGTAACGTCGATCAATAACGTTGAATTTGTTCAAACGTTGACGTCATTGTACAAAATCGAAATTAGGAAACTTTCGCACTATGCTAACAATGTTTCATGCTTTTGCAAATTCTTACCAAAAATTCGAGCAAATATGCTCAGAGGGAGCCTCAGCGTTTAAATCTTCTGTGCACGAGCTCGACAAATAATACAGGGTGTTACAAAACTACCCGTAAAGCCGAAAGGAGGTTAAATGGGGCCTTATAACAAATCCATTCACAATATTTAAGAACCGTAGTAACTCTGTATAACATACCCAAAAAAAAATTTTTTTTTTTATTAGTTTTACTGATGTGTACTTCAAGTAAAATTAAAGAGCAAACCACTCAGAATGTAGGTACTTACCTACGTTTCTTCCTATTCGCGGAAAGATAAAAATATTAAAAGATTTGAATATGATAACATATTTTTTTTACAACTTGACATTTATTGAAGCCAGTAAGTACGCAAGTTGTACCCTTGTAGTGAGGTAGCAAACATTTATGAATGAAAAATAGAAAATCTATTAAAGTAGACAATCATTAGGTAAAATAGGTATGTACGTAGGCTTTTCTGTTAAATAATCTAGTTCCCTGACATGACAGCTTACTAGGGTTGACAAAATTTAGGGCTTTGATAATAAATTATAATTTTTACGGGGTATTTTGTAACACATTGTATAGCTTGAACTCAAGATCATCAATTCAAGATCACGATGACTAAAGTCAGGCTCTATTTTAAGCGTAATCTATTTCTAAAGTCAGAGTTATCTTCAGAATAATGGAGTCGATTCAAATTTGATTTCGCAGGATCGAGGTTTTGCGTTTCCTACTATCAAACCTGCGATGGTATCAAGAAGAATATCGATTCGATGGCTTCAGGTGAGGATGATATTTTCAGAGCGTGACAGACACAGACAGAGCGGAGCCAGTAGCTAATGGCAATAGTTGGCCCTTTAGTTGAATCCCAAGCGTTGGTAGACTAATCTGCCCGTGATCATGATGCTTGCAAATCCTAAATAATATAAATACGCTTATATATGCCGAGAATTGCCGCCGTGGCGGTGGACATATTTGTTTCTTCCAGTTACGTGGTTATTCCACCAATAAATAAGCTACTTTTTAACAAAACACTACTGTTTCTTTGAACCAAGATTGAGAACGAAGAAGAAGAAACAGAGACCGAAACTTATTTGCTTTAATATTATATATACACATAATTGTGCCCAAACTTTACCCAAGAGCAAGTCGTTGAGAAATGTCGCAAGGTCTTGTAATAATTTTAAGCGATAAAGATATATATTTATGATCTTCCGTTTCATATAGGTTCGATGGCGTGACGTCAATGTTGTACCACAGTCGCGGTATCGGTGAAGGGTTCTCTGGTCACTACGACGAATATTACGGACTGAATGTAGACACCGAGGCCCTGATCTACCTGATGCTCGCCAACGACATTGTGCACAGCATCGATAACAGGGTCATCACTATTGCTGAGGTATAATTATAACATAAAAATTAAATGCAACGTGTTACAAAATACCCCGTAAAAATATAATTAATTATCAAAGCCAAAAATTGATGTGCCTTTGGAAAACATACAGCATTGTATTATGAAGAAGCAGTGTGTACTTAGCTTAGATTCCTTGTCTATGTCCAACCATAGACAGTCAATTTAGTTCCATATTTAGCCGCTAGGTGCTGCCAGCAAGTATAAAGGAAGCGCAGCCATCTTTGATCTTCATAGCGTTGTGTACTTTCGTACTGTGAAGTCGCAAGTCCACAAATATTTATTCGACTTCTTATTAATTGCAAAAAATATTTATTTTGTGTTTCTATGAGTGTTATTTTGCAATCATTACGAGTATTATTTACCAATCCTATCATCGGACGCCATGAATCACGCGTCATCTGTTGGAGGTGATGTTNAATAAAACCGATATTATGTGCCGAGAAGGAAAACATACAGCATTGCAGGAAGTTCTTCCTGGTGAAGACTATGAAGATCAAAGATGGCTGCGCTTCCTTTATACTTGCTGGCAGCACCTAGCGGCTAAAGATGGAACTAAATTGACTGTCTATGGTTGGACATAGACAAGGAATTTAAGCTAAGTACACACTGCTTCTTCCTAATACAATGCTGTATGTTTTCCTTCTCGGCACATAGTATCGGTTTTATTGTTATGTAAAACCGTAATATTTTGTCAACCCTAGTAAGCTGTCATGTCAGGAAATCTAGAAAGAAAAAAGGAAATTTAATAGAAAGGTCTACGTACCTATGCTACCCTTATAAATGTCTACTTTAATAAATTTTCTATTTTTCATTCATAAATGTTTCCTACCTCAATACCTGTACTTGTCAAAATTTTTGTCGTTCCGCGAATTAGGTAGAAATGTAGGTACATTCTGCGTAATTTACTCTTTAATTTTACTGAAATAGGGCTTGCACATCAGTTTTTTTTTTTGGGTTTTGTTATACAGCGTTACTACGGTTCTAAAATATTATAAATGGACACGTTATAAGGCCCCATTTAAATTCTTTTCGGCTTTACGGGTAGTTTTGTAACACCCTGTATAATTAAGCAAATTTGTAAGTCATTACTTAGTCTTCATAGTTTTGCAAATTCTCACCAAAACTTCGAGCAAAGATACGATATTTACTTTTTTTAATATAGCTAACATCTCAAATATAGGTATCTACCTAACTTTTGTTTTTGTTAAACCCTTTTTTTGTAGTACTGTATTACTATCAGTAAAAAAAATACGCTGGCCAAGATTGACTATGCAGTCTTATGATGTATTAAAATTAATATGCTTGTTGCTTCGTATTCTAAGTCGTGACGTCATAAATTCGATTGAGTTATATTTTCTACTTTGTGATTGAGGTTAACTTTAGCTATTCAGTTGTTGCTCATATGAGTACTTTCGGGAAAGTTGCACTTCGATAAAGCGGCACGACACGAGAACCCTCTCATCGTGGCCGCCGGTAACTACATTCCCGATTCTGCGGACAGAATGGAAAGCAATCGACGTCGCCCCAAACACATCATTGCGGATCCTCCCGATCCACTAACAGTGCTTTTAGGTACCCCAAGCACCGGTCACCGTTCTCGTCGAACCCGTCGCTTGCGACGAAGGGCTCGACGAGTAAATTAACCCTCAGACACAGCGCACTGAATTTCTCGCCGGATCTTCTCAGTGGGTCGCGTTTTCGATCCGGTGGTAGATTCTCCGAAGCACGACCCTTGCTAGGGTTCGTGTTAGCAACGTCGTCAGGTTTGAGCCCCGTGAGCTTACTTACTAGTTAAGGTTACGCTGAAATAGCCTCCCAAGGCTCTCAGCTAGGTAGGAAAAAAAAGGGAAAGTAGTTATTATTGTGTGCGATAGATGGCGTTTCAACAAATGAGTATTCATTTCTTGATAAATTTCGCGATAATCAAAACGCAACGTGGAAATTCCAGGACGTATCTGGTATGCCAGCGTCTTGCCGGCCGGTTCGCGAGGGCGGCACCGGCTTCGACTACCGCCTCGGCATGGCCATCCCGGACATGTGGATCAAGCTTCTCAAGGAAGAGAAAGACGAAGACTGGAAGATGGGTCACATCGTGCACACCCTCACTAACCGACGTTGGATGGAAGGGACTATCGCCTACGCCGAAAGTCATGATCAAGTACGGATTTTAAATTTGCAGTCTTTCATTACCAATTTATTTCGTTTTTGCAATACATTGCAAGATCACGTAACATGACAAACTTTTTAAAACGACATTCACCTATGACTAACTTAGGAAATGTAATACAATAATGTTCACTGCAAAAAATCCTGTCATGGAATTTCGTGCTGCTATATTTCTTAAACACATCCGTGGTAACAATACTCTCTCTTCAAATTTCTTCCCGCTACCAAACTCTCCTTCTTCCCCTCGTTATATCGATTTTGCACCGGTTTGTGTAAATATTACTTTCCATGCATACATCTTTAAAATTTGAGTCATATTTTGGCCTTTGATTCTCGGCATCGGGAGCATAAGAGTCGATCTTTGTATTGCGTATACGAATTCATCTTTTTTTTTATTGCTTAGATGGATGGACGAGCTCACAGCCCACCTGGTGTTAAGTGGTTACTGGAGCCCATAGACATCTACAACGTAAATGCGCCACCCACCTTGAGATATAAGTTCTAAGGTCTCAAGTATAGTTCAACGGCTGCCCCACCCTTCAAAACGAAACGCATTACTTCTTCACGGCAGAAATAGGCAGGGTGGAGGGAACCTACCCGTGCGGACTCACAAGAGGTCCTGCTACCAGTACGATCATCTAATGATCATCTCAATCATCTATTATTAAGGTGTCCTTTTTAGAAGGCTCGAGCGTTTACAGTATCATTATAATAGATTAGACATATATATAAATTAGAATTGGATCGATATCCTTATGTTGCGAAATGCCATTACTCAATACCAACGATATTTTTAGGCCTTAGTTGGCGATAAAACAATAGCGTTTTGGTTGATGGACGCCGCGATGTACACGCACATGAGCACCCTCAGCGAGCCCAGCGCCGTGGTGGAGCGCGGCCTCGCCCTACACTGCATGATACGACTCATCACGCATGCGCTCGGCGGAGAGGGATATCTTAACTTTATCGGTAAGCTTTACAGACTAACTTAATGCTGCAACTCTTTTTGTAAGTCTAATGTTATTTAAGGGTAAAACAAACGTGAAGAAAGGAGACTGAAACGATTACATACATTTTTGGGCCCGAATGTAACGTGATGAAACTAGTATGAATTAATAGATTCAGATTTATCAGTACCTTGCTGAAAATTATAAAGGTTTTCTCAATCTGAGAGCCGAGGTAATAAAGATTTAGTAAAAGTTAAGTTATGTTACAATCTCTTTAAAAGAGCTGAATAATAACTTATTTAAGCATAAGTAAATGTTTATTACATCCATTGGATAATCTTTTAAATGTCATATTATGAATAAATATCAATGATATATATCAGGTATGGAATATGGAATTGCTATCCCACAATTCACACAGCGATCCATAATTTCAACAGTATCCAATGCAACAATTTCAAGTCAAACGTGTGAGCGATCTTCGGTGTCCAGTGTAGAAGCAATTGTCGTACAAGGCTGGCAGAGTTGGAATCCGTAATAATAAAGCAGTGATCGTTGAAAATATAAAAACNTATATATCAGGTATGGAATATGGAATTGCTATCCCACAATTCACACAGCGATCCATAATTTCAACAGTATCCAATGCAACAATTTCAAGTCAAACGTGTGAGCGATCTTCGGTGTCCAGTGTAGAAGCAATTGTCGTACAAGGCTGGCAGAGTTGGAATCCGTAATAATAAAGCAGTGATCGTTGAAAATATAAAAACAACCCGATAGATACATACTCAAAATGCGTCGAAGATACAAAACGAGTAGAGCAGAAAAAACCAACAAGCGCCAAAAAATAATTGTATAATCTATGAACAAACGTCATGTCAGCTTACTGTCAAAGCTGTCATCAAAAATACAATCGATTTCAATCGATTTGAAATCGATAATCATATTACTTTGTTAAGTAAAAATAGACTTTTTCTTCATTTATGTATATAATCGCAATTAAATCCGGCGTATACCGCACTTGTATACAACAAGTATAAATTGCTCATTTAATTACTTTGCATTAATTACCTAGTGCAATGTTTTTCTTTTTATAATCCTGTAATCGATTAATTAAATCGATCACACCGTTATACCGACAAAAACTAACTTTCTCATTTTTCTCCGGTCCCAGAAAGAGGATTGAGGTGATTTTTAATATTCTTATATAAAAAAATATGACAAATTTTTTAGACGACATTCCAAGTTATTACATTTTTGGCCCACGACTTTCCGTCTCCATTATAGATTAAACGTTGATGCACAACGAGTACCTACCCACATATGACATCACACTTTGTGATTAGTGATTTTATCATTTAAATCATTCATATTGTTGTAGCTGTAGTGGATTGTTTAAATCTAATTAAAATTCACAATCACTTCACTTTAGATTAAATATTTGTTGGTTAAATTGATTGTCAGTGGCCTGCCCATTAACGCCATTCATCTATTTCTGCCGCCATATTAGTGTGTTCCAACCTAAAGATTCATTAGCCGTGTTATTTAAGATTTCCTATGAAATTGACTCAAAAGGTTATGTGGACGTTACCACCATGTGTACCATGCACTCATCTACTTACGTAACGTTACACAAAAGAAAGGAGCTCTTCCAGCTATAGTTTTAAATTTACAACTTATAGAATCGTCATTTCTTCGACAGTATAGAGAGCGTTAATTTCAGTGTATCCGTCATCAGGTTTGAGCCCCGTGAGCTCACCTACTAGTTAAGGCGACGCTGATATAGCCTCTCAAGGCAACAGTGTATCAGCTTAGAGAGACAGAGACAGCTGCACAAAAACGTTACTTTCAAACTTCACTCACATCATGTAAAATCGTTGTAAATTTAATTTAGGCAATGAGTTCGGTCATCCCGAATGGCTGGACTTCCCGCGAGCCGGTAACAACTCGTCTTACCACTACGCCAGACGTCAGTGGCACCTCGTGGACGACGAACTCCTCAAGTACAAGTTCCTCAACGAATTCGACAGAGATATGAATCATTTGGAGGAAAAGTACGGCTGGTTGAGATCTGATCCTGTGAGTATAAAATGTTTATCTTGTTTATTAATAGTTAAATCCAAGAGTTTACTTTGATAGCCCTAAAGTTATAGGTAATATTGATAGATGTTATAGTTATTAAATTCAACCAGTGGCGGATTAAAGGTCCAGAGCGCCCTAGGCAATCACTTTATCGGCGCCCTTGTACCGGCCATAAATGGCCATCATAATACTATACATTTTAACTAGTTGTTTTTGCAATTACGATGACGTTGTATCATCAAACCCTAGACTTTAGTAGACCAGGACCCTTGTAATATGACGTTATAATTGTGAAGAAATCAAAAGGGACGACAGAAGATTTAGATTATAGATCATAATTTAGTTCTTAATCGTCGATATGTTATTTTCTTTATTTATTTAAAAATTCTGAGCTCGCGCGCCCCTTGCAACTACACGCCCCTAGGTACGTGCCTAATTTGCCTTACGAATAATCCGCCTCTGCATTCAACAAATTAGAATAAGTACTCTCAAACAATAGTGTAATCTATGTTGATTACTAAGATATCAATTATGAGTCTGCGAAACATAAAGACCATTTGATGGCATAACATGACATCTGATGTTGCTGATGTCCATGAACAACAATAACTACTTGTTATCAATCGAACCGTAGATACGTTTATCTAGGTACCTATGTTGCCACTAGAAAAACTATTCTTTCATTACTTAGTAACATTAACTATTCTACTTCTATTATGGCAGATGTACAAACACTACAGCGATTTGTTCAATATTCTCAGGGCTATGTGTCATGTAAGCACGAAGGAGACAAAGTGATAGCTTTTGAACGTGCGGGCCTTGTTTTTGTCTTCAACTTTCACCCGTACCAGAGCTTTACAGATTACAGGATTGGTGTCAACGTGTCCGGCAAATATAAGGTTAATCTATCATCATTCTCACTCCCCTCTTACACATATAGTCTTTCACGCAATACATCCACTTCTTCTTAGGTCTGCCTCTTGCTGTATATCTTTCCACATGCATAATTAACACTCTCTTACCAACCAAAACCAAAAATATAAGGCTAGTCTATATTTGGAAAAATAAAAATGTCATAGCTCTATACACATATGCAGCCAACATACATGTTGACTTCCATACCCAACAGTCATTAAAAAATGTTCTCTGTAATAAAACATGCGTATAATTTGAAGGTGCTATTTTTACATAAAACTAAAAAAAAGTTTTCTGATATCTATGAATTATCTATATGTAATGTAATAACAAAACTGTAATAACTTAATATTAAAGTATTAAATATCATCCATAGATAGATAAATCCCATAAAAAATCCACAGATAAATAAATTTAGTATTTATTTATCAATTCGTATCAACTTGATGATAAGGGGACACTAGCTCATGGACGCCAGGTATGCCAAAGCATACTTTAGCCCCCGCTTACCGAAATTTTATTTATTATATTAATATAATAATATATTATTTTATCAAAGCCCATAGACATAAATGGGATTGAAAGATGTCAATAAGAACTCACATTACTACCAGTAAATATTCTGTCGATAACAATCTGAAGTAGCCGGTTCGGCGACACCATCGTTGCTGCATGTTTTTCATGTCATAAATTACCTATTTCCCTGCCTTGGTATTTTTACGCAGAGTCATACACTTGAACACAGACAATGGCAACAATTCACATCATCCCTTAGAGCAAAATAATAATATGACGTAAATAAAACTTAACTGAACAATTTTCTTGCATCATTATAAAAAAAAAACCTTACGCACAAAGTTTATAAGTATAACTACGATTGCAGGCTATACTATGTTCAGATAGTAAGAAATATGGAGGTTTTGGTCGAGTAGAGCCTGACGGAGAGTTCCATTCCACACAGCAAATACCATGGGGAAATAGAAATGATTCAATACAGGTAAAATACTTTGTTAACCACAGTGAAGGATACTGGGATACTTTATGGAAATAATTAATAATTGCTACTTTTATCAGCAAATTTTTATTTATTTCCAAATATTCAATTAAAAGGAATTTTTATTTTAAAAACTGGTCCAACTTGTTTCCTTTTTCTTATATGTATTTTTATACATCTTTTATTTTTTTTCTGCAATGATTAGATTTGGACAAGATGAAATACTTATTTACTGTTTTGTTTTTGTTTTAGGTTTACATCCCTTGCCGTACTGCTATTGTATACGCACCAACCTAATAGTCTTATAGCATTATTAATATATATATTTTTTAAAGTAAATGTTCTGGCAATCACCACGATACTACCACTATTAAGCTAGTCTGTTTTATGAAATATTTTCTTTTTGAGATTTAAAGTTTAGTTAACTGAAAGACTTCAAGTACAAAATCATATATTTATGTTTTGTAATAAATTGTATAAATAAGATTTGTTTGTTAAAATATATTGTTTTTATGATGGCACACCTATAAGTAAGTTATTTTTAGGTGTACAACTCAGTGGTTTTAGTCTTGTCAATGTGACTGTATAACCAAATTCCTGGGCCAAATGACCTCGGTCTGAATCTATGATGGCCATGCATTTGGCTCCTCTGACTGTCAATGGATGATCATTATGAGTTTGGTCTGCTGCATGTCCAATACACAAATATTGGTTGATGGGTAAATTGCTGAATTTGTAACTACGAGGATACGCTAACCTGTCTGTGGCGTGTAGAGATCCATAACAACAAGGACAAAGAACAAACTTTGCTTTTGCATGTAGACATTTGTCCAAAACTAAGTCACTGGCAATACCACAAGCATGTAATGCTATACCAATATCAAATTTGCCTACAAAAAAATCTAAGTTACATTGAAAAAACAAGACATTCTTCATACCCATTTCGTGTACTCTCTTCCTTGCTCTAAGTAAAGATTGTTCCTTGTTCTCTAACAGAATTATAGTACAATTTGGTAATAAATGTGCAACTAAAATGCCTAGATGTCCACTGCCACTGCAAAAATCCACAATGATATCTCCATCTTGGGCTACACTTAAAACTGCCAGAGCTAAGTTTTCTAATTGCTGTGACTTTCTGAGTACTCTTTCATCAGGAAGGTGACCTGCCGTTGGATTGGCTCCATCAGGAATATCCGCCCAATTAATGTTACAGTCAAGTTTATTATCATCTACATTTAACTCCATGTCATTTTGTAGTAAACTCAGAGCTTTTATTATATCATCCTCTTTGGTAAATAATCTCTTTTTTGGATTGTGTCTTTTGGGATCACATTTATATAAACTGACATCTTCTGTCTCTGGTATCGCATTACATTCCATTATTGTGTTCTTTATTTCTAATTTGCTCATTTTGTCCACTAAAGCTTGCAGTTCCAATGTGTTCAACAGATTTTTGTACCACTTATAACTATAAGGAAATAAAGATTCAAAACTCCCTCCAAAAAACTGTACTATTATGTGATATGATGGGAATAGAACTAAGTCAGCCAAAGTTACGAATGGTCCTTCAGCATATTCGTGGCTAATGTTAAGATCTTTGATTTTAGTAGTACAATCTATATCAATGTCCTTCTTTGTGTTTGATTTCCATTTTCTACTTTTAGGTACCCTGTTTTTATCATTTTTATCTTCCTCTTTTACTGGTGTCTTCTCTGCATCTGCCTCACTGACTTTCAGAACTCCTTTATTAATTTCTCGAGCTATTTTGTAGACGTTATGCATTCTAACTGGTTTGCGTAAATGATTTTCAAATCTAACCAAATTTTTGGGTACTTGATCCAAGGATGCAGTGCTGAACATTTCTTTTACTGTTCTAATGATGTCGACTTCACAAAACTTTGTCCATATTGATGCTTCATTAGGTGCTTGAAGACAACTCTTGCGGAAGCCAAGCAAGCCTTCTTCATGTTCGTTTAAACTATGCGGGCGTGTTATAAACTTGCAAATGTGTCTTGCCACTGCACATAGGCCAGCTAAAATGGTATCGTTGAACATTACCACGGGGTATGTGCACATTATTTGCCACGGCACATCTTTTTCATTTATAACAATTAAGTTCTCATCATGCAACGCCACACTTTCTTGACTCAACTTTGTACTTGTGTACACGAAATTTAAAATCATGTCTTCAGGGTTACAATGCACGTATATGCAGTAAATTATAAGTGACTCTAAGGGGAGTTTCATTATTTTAGAGGATTGGTAGTCCTCCTTTGAAGTGTTAACTTCGAGATAGATAGCGTTCGTCATTCTGCCACTTAAGATAGTTCTCACATATTTAAGAATATTGCAGTCGTGTTAACATAATATGTTAAAGAAATAACTTAAATTATTATGTTTCGCTCACATATGTTTATTATTCTCAACAATGCCTTTCATAACCTCCAAATCTTAAGTAATAGTAGTTTTATTTTTTGAAATGGAAAGGCATAAGTATCACACCATACAGCCTAATCTGATATATATTTTTTATGAAATACGATATTATGAAATGAAATGAAGCTGATTAATATGAAACATGGCATGGCATGGAATGAAATGAATTGAAATGACGTGAGATGATATGATATGATATGGGATATTTTTATGAAAAATTATAATATGGAGCGAAATGAAATGAAGAAATTGAGACATTAATCAACTGGGATGAATAAATGGGTATATGATGGGTATATATGGGATAGTGATGGGTAAATATAAAAAATGTCAACTTGAAAAAACATTACATTAACACGTCCTTTTTTTATTATTATTATACATTAACACGTCCTGCTAAAAACTCTCCTGTTCGATTAACTGAAATGAAATAAAAACAATTCAGTACATAATAATTTCATTTTCCAAAAAGGCCGAAGTATTTTTTTTTTTTTTTATTGCTTAGATGGATGGACGAGCTCACAGCCCACCTGGTGTTAAGTGGTTACTGGAGCCCATAGACATCTACAACGTAAATGCGCCACCCACCTCGAGATATAAGTTCTACGGTCTCAGTATAGTTACAACGGCTACCCCACCCTTCGAACCGAAACGCATTACTGCTTCACGGCGGAAATAGGCGGGGTGGTGGTACCTNATCTACAACGTAAATGCGCCACCCACCTCGAGATATAAGTTCTACGGTCTCAGTATAGTTACAACGGCTACCCCACCCTTCGAACCGAAACGCATTACTGCTTCACGGCGGAAATAGGCGGGGTGGTGGTACCTACCCGTGCGGACTCCCAAGAGGTCCTACCACCAGTGATTACGCAAATTATAATTTTGCGGGTTTGGTTTTTATTACACGATGTTATTCCTTCACCGTGGAAGTCAACCGTGAACATCCGTTGAGTACGTATTTCATTAGAAAAATTGGTACCCGCCTGCGGGATTCGAACACCGGTGCATCGCTACATACGAATGCACCGGACGTCTTATCCTTTAGGCCACGACGACTTAACACACCATTGAACTTTTATTCTGTTATAAGATTTAAAAATCATCTCTTTTTTATAAGCATAACGGAAAGAAACGGCATGTTGATTTAGCTAAATTTGACTAAAGAATGAAATGAGATGAAAATAAATGATGTCTCAGTTACGTGGTAGGAATTTAAATGTTACTTAGTTCATTGTTTCGTGTTGGTTCAATTTTAATTAATTCCTCTATCACACATACAATGCTTTGGCCTTTTATTTAAAAAAAACAGGCTGTATGATAAGATAATATAGCCTTTCCTATTTTGAAAAAAAGAAAACTGTCACTTTATTTTCAATTTGTCAATGTTTGTGATATCAATCAGTCCACAATCAGTCACATTCATGTTTTTTGCATTATTTTAGAGCTGTAAATAAACATGTGCGCCTAAGTCTACGTTAAGCAACATTCGTCAAATAGTTCCGATTCCTTCGCGCAACTTTCCCCAAAAACTTTCCGAAACTTGTCCAATAAAACTTCTCGAATTTGACTGTCAATCTATAATGATGCAGGTAGAAGTAAAAAATTGGCAATTGCTTTATGGCACAGTTGTTGTTTGTATTGTCAATATATTGATGCCGCATTTGGCAAAATATGTAAGTACCACATTCATGAAATCTTCCTGAACTCCGTTAAAACATAGATTACAATACATTAATAAGAGATATCGTTTTAGATTGTATCTTGGTTCTACAGTCCAACCAAGGAAGAACTTCTAAAACTAGAAGAGCTACGTAAACTTTTAGAAGAACTGAACCAGAAATCTATAAAAGATGAATTTGCTGCATACTCCAGATTGCAGCGCAGAATAAATAAACTCGAGGCTGAAGTAAAAAAGATGTCACAGTCTAGAATTAGTGCAAGTGTAACAGTGAATACTTCTATACAACTTGCTCTAGAGGTGTTGGTGGCAATCGTAACTGTAATTTCCATAATCTTCTTCCGGAAAATACCTGTAGCCACTATGAAGGGTGATCTATTTCCATTCACAACTGTACTTCGATACCCTAGTGAGCTCCCAAATGCCATTTCTGCTCATGTATGGATAATTATCTCCAATGTTACCCTTAAAGTTTTACTGAAACCTATGTTGCCTTAATGTAATTACAGGTATATATTATGTTATTCATAAATATTCTGAAGTTATTATTTATTGTATATAATAATAGTATGTTCAACACACCATGACAATGTTTTACTAATTGAAATAACAATCCTGAAAGCTAGATATGTATTATTTTATAATTTAATTTTAAAATAAATGGAGCTATGAATAAAAAAAGCTATGTATTGTAACTAATTCCTCATACTGGTTTTATCTCTTTATAGGGCACTAGCGACCCGCCCTCGCTTCGCTTCGGAAACATTAAAACACACATGAAACCAAAAAAAAAAATTTTAAAAAAGTAGCCTATGTTCATCAGGGACAATGTCGGCTTCTAATGGAAAAAGAATTTTTCAAATCGGTCCAGTAGTTTCGGAGCCTATTCGAAACAAACAAACAAACAAATCTTTCCTCTTTATAATATTAAGTATAGATAATGATGAAGTAAGTTCAAAAAATGATTTTAATGTAATTTTAATACAATGCTGAACAAGGAAAAATAATTATTGTTTGTTATTATTTATTTCTTATCATTCACGAGTGTACTCAGGCTAAAATATAATAACAATACAGAAGGGTTCAGAAATATTTGCAAAAAAAGTGGCAGTAAAATTCCTTTACCTTACAAAGTGTGAAAACGCTCATGAACCATTATTACCATTCATGAAAAATAAGACCCCAATCAGCCCAATGAGTTTCTCACTAGATCTTCTCAGTGTTAACGACATCCGCAGGTTAGAGCCCCATG